GTTTAACTACGTGTTTAAATAATAAACACCGTTCGCGAAAAAGAAAAAAGTGGAGCACTAATCCAAGAACGAAAATACAGGCTAAATTTAAGCCAATTTTATACAAACATGACTTACTTAAAGCCGCGTTTGTTTTCTGGTGCCTAATATAGAAAACGTATCCGCCCATTAATATCCATAATTTCTTTAATATCTACTTTAAATAAAGAAGAAAGTTAAAAGAAGGCACATTAAAGTATTGGTGATATATGTAATTGTTTGAGATTCTTATTGTTCGCGTGTTTGTCACCAATAAAGAGACGATATTAAAATAATTTATTTCGTATTGTTACTAGTGTTGCCGAAGTTTCCAAGCGCTTTGTAGGTTACGAGGTTAGTTTTAAAAAACATTGTAAAAATTATACAACGTTTTCGTTGTATAATAACAGAAGTTCGGTTTAATTAAAAAAATTGATCATAATGACTTGGTGTTTAAGAGGTCGTAACTCAAAACGTCAACACGACGATTTACGTTGAAATGTTACAACACCACAAACGTGTCTCTAATTAATAACGAGTCCGCTTCTAAGTAGTAGAAGCATCAATTTATAACATTCCCAAATTAGTGTCTGCCTGATATCATCTTCTATTTACAAAAGTTCCTGTTTTTTGTCTGAAAAGAAATCAGCTTTGGATATTATAGTGGCAGTTTTTTATCTCTTTGTAATCTTAAACTGATCGCTTTCATGCTTGATGTGTTAAATGTGATGTCTGTTTCTTTTGATAAAAGATATCACGAAAATAAACTGATTCAAAGCAAACCATCTTTTTTTAATCGTACCGAGTCGGTTCGGATTTTTCGTCTTGTTTTTATGTTTCCATATAATTCATTCAGTCAGTTTTTATTGGCTGGATTTTTTGGTTAGATTGACAAGACATAACCTGCCTTGAGCGACCCTTTCGGAATCCATATTGTTTATTATCAGAGTTCTGGAGTCCCTAATGCTTTTTTAAGAACTTTGGAATTTTTTGACAAATTTTTCAATTTGAAAATTTAAGCAAAATTTCGTCCATTTTCGAAACTTTACGAAAGACATTTTTTATAGATTTCTAACTTCAATAGTTGGTTTGGGCCTCATTTTTCGATAACGTTTACCATTTTTCCAGAATTGTCCATTGGAATATTGCAATTTTTTGGATTAAAAAAAAAAGATTTTCGAAGAGGAAATTTCTAAAATCTTGCCCCAGAACCTTGAGCACGATATATTTTTGGGGACTTTTTTAACAACCTTTTCAAAACAGAATTTTTTAATACGAAAATTTAAGCCAATTTTCTATCATTTTTGAAATTAAACATTTTCTTGAAAATTTCGAATGCAATTTTTTGTATTTTTAGAAAATTTGATTTTTAAACAGAATATTTCCCAACTTTTGCCGTATGACCTTATACATGATATATTTTTGGAGTCAGCACGTCGAAATCTATATCCCCGATTTTTTGGGATTTTTTTTGACAACTTTTTAAAACAGAATTTTTCAGCATGAAAATTTTAGCCAATTTTCATTTTTGAAATTAAACCAATGACATTTTCTTATAGATTTCGACCTGCAGAAGTTAGTTTCAGCCTCATTTCATCGACAACTTTTACCATTTTTTCCAGAATCGCCCATAAGAGTACTGAAATTTTTTTGGATTAAAAAAAAGATTTTCAAAGAGGATATTTCTAAAATCTTGTCCTAGGACCTTAGACACGGTTTATTTTTGGAGACAACACGTCGAAATCTATATCCTCGATTTTTTTGGAATTTTTTTGTCAATTTTTTCAAAACCAAAATTTTTCAATGTGAAAATTTAGGCCAATTTTTGATCATTTTTGAAAGTTACCCAAAGACATTTTCTTGTATATTTCAACCTGCAGAAATTAGTTCGGCCCTATTTTTCCAATAACTATTACCGTTTTCCAGAATCCGTCCATTGAAATGTTGCAATTTTTTTGATTAAAAAAAAAAATTCAGGCAGAATATTTCAAAAATCTTACCCCGGGACCAATAAACACGCTATATTTTTGGAGTCAACACGTCGAAATCTATCTCCCCGATTTTTTTAGGAATTTTTTGAGACGCAGAATTTTTCAATATGAAAACTTAAAGGCAATTTTTGACCATTTTCAAAATGAAACCAAAGACATTTTCTTGAAAATTGCGAATGCAATTTTTTGTATTTTTAGAAAAATTAATTTTCAAACAAAATATATCCAAAATCTTGGCCCAGGATCTTAGACACGATATATTTTTGGAGTTGGCACGTCGATTTTTTGGGGATTTTTTTGACAACTTTTTCAAAATACAATTTTCAATCTGAAAATTTAAGCCAATTTTCCATCATTTTTGAAATTAAACCAATGACATTTTCTTATATATTTCGACCTGCAGAAGTTAGTTTCGGCCTCACTTCATCGACAACTTTAACCATTTTTCCAGAATCGTCCATGGGAATATATGTATTGCAATTTTTTGGATAAAAAAAAATTCAAACAGCATATTTCTAAAATCTTGCCCCAGGACCTTAAGCACAATACATTTTTGGAATCAACACCTCAAAATCTATATGTCCGATTTTTTTGGAATTTTTTTGACAATTTTTTCAAAACCAACATTTTTCAATGTGAAAATTTAGAACAATTTTTGATCATTTTTGAAAGTTACCCACAGACATTTTCTTGTAGATTTCAACCTGCAGAAATTAGTTCGGCCCTATTTTTCCAACAACTACCGTTTTCCAGAATCCGCCCATTGAAATATTGCAATTTTTTGGTTAAAAAAAAAAATTCAGAAAGAATATTTTAAAAATCTTACCCCGAGACCAATAAACACGGTATATTTTTGGAGTCAACACGTCGAAATCTATATCCCCGATTTTTTTTAGGAATTTTTTGACAAGTTTTTCAGAAGCAGAATTTTTCAGTATGAAAATTTAAAGGCAATTTTCGACCATTTTCAAAATGAAACCAAAGACATTTTCTTGAAAATTTCGAATGCAATTTTTTGTATTTTTAGAAAAATTGATTTTCAAACAGAATATATCCAAAATCTTGGCTCGGGATTTTAGACACGATATATTTTTGGAGTTAGCACGTCGAAATCTGTATCCCCGATTTTTGGGGATTTTTTTTGACAACTTTTTCAAAATATAATTTTTCAATCTGAAAATTTAAGCCAATTTTCCATCATTTTTGAAATTAAACCAATGACATTTTCTTATATATTTCGACCTGCAGAAGTTAGTGTCGGTCTCACTTCATCGAAAACTTTAACCATTTTTCCAGAATCGTCCATTGGAATATATTGCAATTTTTTGGATAAAAAAAATTTCAAACAGAATATTTCTAAAATCTTGCCCCAGGACCTTAAGCACAATATATTTTTGGAATCAACACGTGAAAATCTATATGCCCGATTTTTTTTTGATTTTTTTGACAATCCTTTCAAAACCAAAATTTTTCAATGTGAAAATTTAGACCAATTTTTGATCATTTTTGAAAGTTACCCACAGACATTTTCTTGTAGATTTCAACCTGCAGAAATTAGTTCGTCCCTATTTTTTCAACAACTATTACCATTTTCCAGAATCCGCCCATTGAAATATTGCAATTTTTTGGATTAAAAAAAAGATTTTCAAACAGAATATTTCAAAAATCTTACCCCGGGGCCAATAAACACGCTATATTTTTGGAGTTAACACGTCGAAATCTATATCCCCGATTTTTTAGGAATTTTTTGACAAGTTTTTCAGAACCAGAATTTTTCAATATGAACATTTTGGCCAATTTTCGATCATTTTTGAAATTAAACCAATGACATTTTCCCATAGATTTTGACCTCCAGAAGTTAGTTTCGACCTCATTTTATCGACAACTTTTACCATTTTTCCAGAATCGCCCATTGGAAAATTGACATTTTTTGGATTTAAAAAGAAAATATTGTCAAAGAGGATATTTTTAAAATCTTGCCTAAAGACCTTCGACACGATATATATTTGGAATCAATACGTCGAGATCTATATACTGATTTTTTTGGAAATTTTTTTGACAACATTTTCAAAATCAAAATTTTTCAATATGAAAATTCGACCAATTTTTGATCATTTTTTAAAGTTAACCAAAGACATTTATTTCCTTGTAGATTTCGACCTGCAGAATCTAGTTCGACCCCGTTTTTTTGACAACTATTGCCATTTTTCCAGAATCCACCCATTGGAATATTGCGATTTTTTTGAATAAAAAAAAAGATTTTCGGATAATATTTCTAAAATTTTGCCTCGGGACATCGAAATCCCTACCTCTCATTTTTTGGGAATTTTTTGATAATTTTTTCAAAATCAAAATTTTTCAATCGAAAGAATTTTTTAACAATTAGCATGTCCATATCTATGCCCCTGAATATTTTGGAAATCTTTTGACAACTTTTTTATACGCAGAATTTCTCACTACGAAAATTTAAGCAAATTTTAAGAATTGCGCAACGGGATATTACAATTTTTTTAACTAAGAAAAAAATATTTTCGAACCGACCATGAACATGCTATATTTTTGGAATCAGCACGTCGAAATCTACACCCCTGATTTTTTTAGTAATTTTTTGACAACTTTTTCAGACGCAGAATTTTTCAATTTGAAAATTTAACCCAATTTTCGCGCATTTTCGAATCTTTACTAAAGACATATCGTATTTACTAACTGTTTTATTTGAAACGATTAACAAAATAACGGAATCATTAACTGTTGCGTGTTTGGTAAAACAGTGTCCGATAAAGACACGAATTTACTGTAAAGAAAAGTACCATTTATTTACATATATGTTAATCTCAGATGGTATCGTAACGACGAAATTATGATACAAAATAAATGGCCAAAACCCACCCATTTGTATCTCAGCATAACATCCACGTCTCATTTAAATTAAATTCATAATTTAGGTTCCTTATTCCATAAAGCGAAACCCATCCAGAGGGCAACACCTACCTAGAGTGGTCCAGGTCCCGCTTGTTCCCCAGCAGCAGACTCGTGTAGTACGACGGCAGCTTCAGCTTAGCCAGCTGCCCCAGGATCTCCCCGGCTTCGTGGAAGCTGTGCCTGTCGCTGACCGAGTACACTATGACGAAGGCCTCGCCCCATCGGATGTGCTCGTACAAGCAGCCGTTCTTCTGCAACAAGAGTAAACCGAATTGTAAATTCGGAGGTCTCCACGCTCACTTTCGTCGCTTAATAAATTAACAATGACAAGCGACAGCCATTTGGACTTTCTTCCAGACGACAGCCTCGGCGGAAGAGGACGGCGAGCCGGTTCTGCGCGCGTGGGCCGGACTTAGCGAATTTAATTGGCGCTATCTGACCCTGCCCGGGTTATCGCCGTTTCGCCGGTAAAAGTACGCGAACTTTCATTTGACGCGAGCGATCCCGATGGTAATTTGGCGGCCCACGGCCCATTATGCGGGGTTGGGAGGGCACAGCCAAGTGTGCCAGGTCGGCCGTAAATCAACGCTTTATGTCTTTTCGACAGGGCGAGAAATGGAACGGGCTGGGCGAGACGGGCCGCAGGGATCCGCAATGGGACCCATTCTTCGAGGAGCTATACCGGTTTTTATTTTATTCGGTAAAATTTTGTGATAAGGTTACTAATTCTTACAGATTTCAACCCACAGAGGTTAGTTTCGGTCTCATTTTTTCTATCATTTCTCCAGAAACGTCAATTGGTATATTGCAAATTTTTGAATTAAAAAAAAAGAGCTTCAAACAAAACATTTTGTCTCAGGACCATAAATATGGTGTATTTTTGAAATTAGCACGTCGAAATCTATATAACTGATTTTTTTGGGAATATTTTGATAATGTTCAAAAAGCAGAATTTTTCAACATCAAAATTTTGGAAAAAATTCGACCATTTCCGAGACTTAACTGCAGACATTTTTTCATAAATGTCGACCTATGGAAGTTAGTTTCGGCCTCAATTATTCTATAACTAATACCATTTTTCCAGAATCGCACATTGAAATATTGCAATTTTTTGAACTTAAAAAAATAATAATTTTGAAACCGAATATTTCTAAAAGCTTGTCCCGATACGACAACACTCTATGTTTTAGAAATTAACACATCGAGATCTGTGTCTCTCGATATTTTGGAAATTTTTTGACAACTTCTTCAAAAACAAAATTTTTCAATACATATAAAATTTATGCCGATTCTACCAATTTCTAAACTTAACGAAAGATATTTTCTTACAGATTTTGACCTATAGAGGTTAGTTTCGGTGTCATTTTTTCTATAACTCCTACCATGTTTCCAGAATCGTCTATTGGTATATTGAAAATTTTTGAATTAAAAAAAATTGATCTTCAAACAAAATAGTTATAAAATTTTGTCCCGGGACCATAAATATGCTGTGCTTTTGAAATCAGCACGTCCAAATCTATATAACTGATTTTTTTGGGAATATTTTGACAATTTTCAAAAAGCAGAATTTTTCAAAATCAAAATTTTGGAAAATATTCGACCATTTCCGAGACTTAACTACAGACACTTTTTCATAAATGTCGACCTATGGAAGTTAGTTTCGGCCTGAATCATTCTATAATTAATACCATTTTTCCAGAATCGCCCATTGGAATATTGCAATTTTTTTAACTTAAAAAAATAATAATTTTGAAACCGAAAATTTCTAAAAGCTTACCTCGGTACTATAACACGCTACATTTTTGAAATCAACACATCGAGATCTCTGTCCCTCGATATTTTGGAAGTTTTTTGACAACTTCTTCAAAAATAGAATTTTTCAATGCTATAAAATTTAGGCCAATTTTCTGCCAATTTCTAAATTTAACTAAAGATATTTTCTCACAGATTTCGACCTCATGAAGTTAGTTTCGGTCTCATTTTTTCTATAACTCCTACCACTTTTCCAGAATCCTCAATTGGTATATTACAAATTTTTGAATTAAAAAAAAGAGTTTCAAACAAAATATTTATAAAATTTTGCCCATGAACCAGAAATACGCTGTATTTTTGAAATCAGCACGTCGAAATCTATATAACTCATTTTTTTGGAATACTCTGACGATTTTCAAAACGCAAAATTTTTCAGTATGAAAATTTTAGAAAATATTCTTTCATTTTAGAAACTTAACTATAGACACTTTTTCATAAATTTCGACCTATGGAAGTTAGTTTTGGTCTCAATTTTTCGATAATTCCTACCATTTTTCCAGAATCGCTCATTGGAATATTGCAATTTTTTTAACTTAAAAAAAAAATTTGAAACCGAATATTTCTAAAAGCTTGTCCCGATACCTTAGCACGGCATATTTTTGGAATCAACACATCAAAATCTGTATCCTTCGGTATTTTGGGAATTTTTGAGAACTTCTTCAGAAACAAAATTTTTCAATAGATATAAAATTTAGGCAAATTTTCCATCAATTTCGAAAGTTAACTAAAGATATTTTCCTACAGATTTCGTCCTAGAGGTGAGTTTCGGTCTCATTTTTTCTATAACTCCATTTTTCCAGAATCGTAAATTGGTATAATGCAAATTTTTGAATTAAAAAAAGAGCTTTTAACAAAATATTTATAAAATTTTGCCCTTGAACCAGAAATACGCTGTATTTTTGAAATCAGCACGTCGAAATCTATAATTCATTTTTTTGGAAATACTTTGACGATTTTCAAAACGTAAAATTTTCAGTATGAAACTTTTGGAAAATATTCGATTATTTTAGAAACTTAATTACAGACACTTTTTCATAAACTTCGACCTATGGAAGTTAGTTTTGGTCTCAATTTTTCTATAATTCCTACCATTTTTCCAGAATCGCTTAATGGAATATTGCAATTTTTTGAACTTAAAAAAAAATTTTTTGAAACCGAATATTTCTAAAAGTTTGTCCCGATACCTTAACACGGCATATTTTTGGAATCAACACATCAAAATCTGTATCCTTCAATATTTTGGAAATTTTTGAGAACTTCTTCAGAAACAAAATTTTTCAGTAGATATAAAATTTAGGCCAATTTTCCACCAATTTCGAAAGTTTACTAAAGATATTTTCTTACAGATTTCGTCCTACAGAGGTTAATTTCGGTCTCATTTTTTCTATAACTTCTACCACTTTTCCAGAATCCTTAATTGGTATATTGCAAATTTTTTAATTAAAAAAAAAGAGCTTCAAACAAGATATTTATAAAATTTTGCCCATGAACCAGAAATACGCTGTATTTTTGAAAACAACACGTCGAAATCTATATAAATCATTTTTTTGGGAATACTTTGACGATTTTCAAAAAGCAAAATTTTTCAATATGAAAATTTTGGAAAATATTCGATCATTTTAGAAACTTAACTACAGACACTTTTTCATAAACTACGACCTATGGAAGTTGGTTTTGGTCTCAATTTTTCTATAATTCCTACCATTTTTCCAGAATCGCTTAATGGAATATTGCAATTTTTTGAACTTAAAAAAAAATTTTTTGAAACCGAATATTTCTAAAAGTTTGTCCCGATACCTTAACACGGCATATTTTTGGAATCAACACTTCAACATCTGTATCCTTCAATATTTTGGGAATTTTTGAGAACTTCTTCAGAAACAAAATTTTTCAGTAGATATAAAATTTAGGCCAATTTTCCACCAATTTCGAAAGTTTACTAAACATATTTTCTTACAGATTTCGTCCTACAGAGGTTAGTTTCGGTCTCATTTTTTCTATAACTCGTACCATTTTTCCAGAATCGTCAATTGGTATATTGCAAATTTTTGAATTAAAAAAAAAGAGCTTCAAACAAAATATTTATAAAATTTTGCCCATGAACCAGAAATACGTTGTATTTTTGAAAACAACACGTCGAAATCTATATAACTCATTTTTTTGGGAATACTTTGAGGATTTTCAAAAAGCTAAATTTCTCAGTATGAAAATTTTGGAAAATATTCGATCATTTTAGAAACTTAACTACAGACACTTTTTCATAAACTTCCACCTGTCGAAGTTGGTTTTGGTCTCAATTTTTCTATAATTCCTACCATTTTTCCAGAATCGCTTAATGGAATATTGCAATTTTTTGAACTGAAAAAAAATTTTTTTGAAACCGAATATTTCTAAAAGTTTGTCCCGATACCTTAACACGGCATATTTTTGGAATCAACACATCAAAATCTGTATCCTTCAATATTTTGGGAATTTTTGAGAACTTCTTCAGAAACAAAATTTTTCAGTAGATATAAAATTTAGGCCAATTTTCCACCAATTTCGATAGTTAACTAAAGATATTTTCTTACAGATTTCGTCCTAGAGGTGAGTTTCGGTCTCATTTTTTCTATAACTCCTACCACTTTTCCAGAATCCTCAATTGGTATATTTCAAATTTTTGAATTAAAAAAAAGAGCTTCAAACAAAATATTTATAAAATTTTGCCCATGAACCTGAAATACGCTGTATTTTTGAAATCAGCACGTCGAAATCTATATAACTCATTTTTTTTGGGAATACTTTGAGGATTTTCAAAAAGCAAAATTTTTCAGTATGAAAATTTTGGAAAATATTCGATCACTTTAGAAACTTAACTACAGACACTTTTTCATAAATTTCGACCTATGGAAGTTAGTTTTGGTCTGAATTTTTCTATAATTCTTACCATTTTTCCAGAATCGCTTATTGGAATATTGCAATTTTTTGAACTTAAAAAAAATTTTTTTGAAAGCGAATATTTCTAAAAGTTTGTCCCGATACCTTAGCACGGCATATTTTTGGAATCAACACATCAAAATCTGTATCCTTCAATATTTTGGGAATTTTTGAGAACTTTTTCAGAAACAAAATTTTTCAATAGATAAAAAATTTAGGCAAATTTTCCATCAATTTCGAAAGTTAACTAAAGATATTTTCCTACAGATTTCGTCCTAGAGGTGAGTTTCGGTCTCATTTTTTCAATAACTACTACCACTTCCAGAATCCTCAATATTGCAAATTGTTTTATTAAAAAAAAAGAGCTTCAAACAAAATATTTATAAAATTTTGCCCATGAACCAGAAATACGCTGTATTTTTGAAAACAACACGTCGAAATCTATATAAATCATTTTTTTGGGAATACTTTGACGATTTTCAAAAAGCAAAATTTTTCAATATGAAAATTTTGGAAAATATTC